GTGTATTGACCCTTTAATCATTATATAGTGTCCTTCCTTATCCTTTGTGGTGGGTTTTACTTTAAAGTCTATTTTGTCAGAGATTAATATTGCCATTCCTGCTCTTTTTTGAGTGTTGTTTGTTTGATATATTTTTTTCCATCCTTCGAGTTTTAGTTTGTTTGTGTCTTTAAGTCTAAGCTGTGTCTCTTATAGGCAGCATATAGACGGATTGTGTTTTTTTTTAAATATAATCTGCCACTCTCTGTCTCTTTATTGGTGCATTTATTCCATTTACATTCAGCGTAATTATTGATAGGTGTGAGTTTAGTGCTGTCATTTTGATGTCTTGTTTTGTGTGTTGTTCAGTTTCTTTGTTCCACTTAATTTTCTGTGCTGAGTCATTTTTCTTATGTATTTCTTTTCACCTTTTTCATTGTTGCTGATTTTGTATTTGCTGAGTCTTTATATTTTTCTAGTTTTTTATTTTAACTGGTAGGACTGTTAGTTTCCTTTGTGGTTACCTTAATATTTACCCCTATTTTTCTAAGTTTATACCAGTCTTTTATTTGTTTATATTGCCTTGACTTCCTCTCCATATGAAAAATCTGTGTCTACATTTTTTATGTCCCTCTTTTTTGTTTTAATGTTGTCGTCTTTTACATATTGACATCTATTTCCCTATTTTCAGTGTTTTAGCTTTGATTTACTTTTGTGACTTCTCTATCTGGGTTGATATCTGGTTGCTGTGCCCTGTGTTCTAGTCTTGGGTTGTTATCTGATGTTACTGATTTTCTAACTGGAGGACACCCTTTAGTATTTCTTGTAATTTTGTTTTTGTTTTTGCAAATTCTCTAAACTTCTGTTCATCTGGAAATGCCCTAATTTCACCATCATATTTGAGAGACAGTTTTGCCGGATATATAATTCTTGGCTGGCAGTTTTTTTCCTTCAAGGCTTTATATATGTCATCCCATCGCCTTCTTGCCTGCATGGTTTCTGCTGAGTAGTCCGAGCTTATTCTTATTGCCTCTCCTTTGTAGATGACTTTTTGTTTATCCCTAGCCGCTCTTAAAATTCTCTCTTTATCTTTGGTTTTGGCAAGTTTGATTATAAGATGTCTTGGTAACTTTCTTTTGGGATCTACCTTATGTGGGGTTCAGTGAGCATCTTGGATAGATAGCTTGTCATCTTTCACAATATCAGGGAAGTTTTCTGCCAACAAATCTTCAACAATTCTCTCTGTATTTTCTGTTATCTCCCCCGCCCCCACGCCGTCCTGGTACTCCAATCACTCGTAGGTTTTTCCTCTTGATAGAGTCCCACATAATTCTTAGAGTTTCTTCATTTTTTTAAATCCTTTTATCTGATTTTTCCTCAAATAAGTTGGAGTCAAGTGCTTTATCTTCAGTCTCACTAATTCTGACTTCCATTGCCTCAATTGTGCTCTTATAACTTTCTATTGAGTTGTCTAATTCTGAAATTTTACTGTTAATCTTCTGGATTTCTGTTTTCTGTCTCTCTGTGGATTCTTGCAACCTGTTAAATTTGTCATTATGCTCTTCTCTAATCTTTTTAATTTCCTCTATTGTGTCTTCTGCATTTTGATTAATTTCTTTCCTAATTTCTTGAAGAGTTCTGTATATTAATCTTTTGTATTTTGGGAGCTTGCTGAAGCCATCATGGACTGCCTGATTTGATATTGACTGTTATCTCCAAGCCATCAATAAATTATTATATTTATTTATGTTTGCTTACTGTTTCCTAGCTTCTTGTTTTGTTTTGATATGCCCAAATAGGCTGCTTCTATGAGCTAGTTTGATTTTCACACCATTGAAGCTCTAATGACCTGTCACCAGGTGGTTAGATCTGTTACTAGGTATGTGAGCTCAGGCGTCCGCCCACTCCTCCTGTATAGATTCAACTCAGGTGCCCAGGTAGATAGTCACCAAGTGTGTGTTGTAGGCTCTCACGTACAGTGCTAGACAGGTGATTGGTGTAGGCACAGCCATCTGGCTGCAGCAGGGAGACACACTTTGAGCAAGGCAGGGAGCTGACGGCTGCCCCCAACTGTCCTGGAGGAAAGCGTGTCCCTGTTCCCTAGAGTGCGTAGGTGGGTGGCTTTTGCAGCCATACTATGAGCGCCCAGTGCTTTTGGCCGTAAGGACTGGGGGGCACCTCTTATTTTTGGACCCCTATTGCAGGTGGCTAGGTGGCATGGGTGGAGCCACCAGTCCTCAGGCCCCTGATGTGGGTAGGTGAAGACCCTGCTTAATGGCCAGAGCAGTGTCAAATGTCAAGAACCTGCCACTTCACAGCTGAAACAGTTGAAGTTAGACTTCTGGTATATACCCTGTTGTACTGCGGTAATGAGGGCCTATGTTGTTGAAATGGGCCCACACAAGTCTATGCAGGGGGAAAGGCACTCAGAGTCTGTGGATCCCTTATTCCTGTGTCTAAACAAAAGAGCTGTGCCTACCCTGAGTTTCTGGCTAGGGGAGCCGACAGTTTATTTTCGCCCCTGTTTGTTAATTTCTTCACTGTCCAAGGTCAGGAGAATGGCTCAGGGCATGTGACCAATCCTTCTTCCAGCCCAGGGGACTCAGCAATTGCTGAAGCTGGTCCAGGACCCAGTGCAGAGCAGGGATCAGGGAGGTAAATGGGAGAGAGGTTTTTCCCCAAGGGGGTGTTTTTGAGCCGCGTGGTAGGCCAGATGCAAGTACTTATCTTTCGCCCATCAAAGGCTGCTTCTCACTGGTTCTCGGTGGCCAAGTAGACTCTCTGCCTCTGGGTCTCTCCTTTTGCAGAAAAGACACCTCCTGAGCACTGCTGCTTGCCTGCCTCACCTCTCACCCATGAGCTGATCAGGCCTGAAGAGCTCAGGCTCTTGCTGGGTCAAGTCTGGGAACTCCTCACTGCTTCTGAACTGTCTCTCCCTCCCCCTGCCACTCAGTCCAGTTCCTCAGCTTTACCTTTGATATTCAGGCCCCCTAGATTGTCATATATAATTGATTCACTTGTTTTTTTCAGGTCTCTGTTGTAAGAGGGTCCACCGGAAGCATCTGACTACTCTGACATCTTAATCCCACCTCAGGATATATTTTCATTCTGTTAAATTTGTTTTGCTGGCATTTGCTTCTGCATTCTGCTTGTATCCTGTAATATCATTTCTACTTACCATTATTTTCTCCTAGAACAATCTTGAGCACCAAGCATTGTTTGAGTTGAACTGAAACTTTACAAATCCAGCTCAATTCCCTAAGCAATGTATCACCCACCTTGTGGCATACACTATGGAGATTACTGAGATGGACTTTGGGCACAGCCCCAGCTCTCACTGCACTCAAAGTTCATGAAGCAGTAACTGTGTTATTAGGGAAAGTGAGAAAATGGAAGTTTTTTTAAAAAAAAAGTCTAGTAGGAACACAAATGAGAGGATTGGTTCTGCCAGGTGAGGGTTTATAAGCAGAGGCTCTAGGCAGAAGGTCGTTCCAAGCTGGGCTGAAGGCATTTGAAAGGGAGACAGAGGCAGAAAGAATGTCTGCAGAGGACCTCAGGAAGTCCCAGCAGAAGGGGAGCAGTGCCAAGTCCAGAGTGTGGCTCGAATGCCATATGGAGGGCCGCCTGCACCTGATAGGCACCGGGCATCCAGCGGATACGCTGAGAGGACTGTAATAGCAGAGCCAAGAGATTTTAAAATGACACATTTGGGGTCTCTGCTCAGAAAATTACTGACCATCAACTAAGATTTTATTACATTTAGACAAACGTGGTATGTCCATAAATAACATTTCTTGCGGTTCCTGTTTTAGCTTCTATACGCCAAGTTTACAGAGTACCTGGAGGATGTCCATGTCTGGATCTCAGTGTACAGCCGGCCCTCATACAGCAGCTACCTGCACACACAGCGGCTCACGGTCTGCTTCTCCTTGCTGTGCACCTACTCCTGTCTCACCGCCGCGCTCACTGCTGCACAGCATGAGCAGGTGGGAGCCTCCTTCTTTCCTGCAAGTGGCTCCCCAATCACAGGCCTACAGTGCGAACCTTCTTTGACTAAGGCATTAGCAAAATTCAAGGCCTCAAAAAAGGTTTTAACCAGGGGAAGCAGCCTTCGAGCCTCAAGAGGCCACACAGGTGACGTGGGTCAAGGAGGAGCCTGGGAAGGGTCTGCAAGGAGGGGGCTCTGGGTGAAGCAAGCACTGCCCTGCCTCCGCATGGTGCCACATGGGAAGATTTCTCAGGTGTTGGCAACTAGGATTTTCTGGTGAGAACTCTCCTGGATATATATTTTTTAATGTTGGCAAATAATTCCAATTAAAAAAAATTTTCTCTGGCCAAAAAATCAATTCTGATGGTTACACTTGCTGTTGGGTGCCATTTTGTAGCTCTAGTCTAGTCATCCCTCATGAGGTGTGGAGACTAATTTTAAATAAGTGCCAGCACGCAAAATGGAAAATGGAGAGCCTGACTTTCCTGGGGAAAAAAAAAAGTCATAGCAAGACTTTTTAGGCAAGGGAAAACAGTTGACATTTGTTTCTTCTGACAACCACACAGCCAACAGTGGGACCTCCACCCCACTGGGTTCAAAGGGCCCCTGTACGGCTCGAGAAATATGACTAGGGGCTGGAGACAGCAGTGGTTTCAGGGGTAGGACTCACCATCCAAGCGTTGGAGATTGGGAGTAGCTGCTCCCGTGTTCAGAAAATGTGGGATAACAGGAATATATTAGTAGAATTTTTTCTTAAAAAGAAGAATATGTGCACATAATTTGTGAAAAGATGGTAAAGAAATAGCATCAGCTAGCAAGCAAGAAGCCCCTGTATGCACATGGGAAAGAAACCCAAGCTTGGCTTTCTCCTCTGACGTGGTGAGTAGTCTGACCCTGGGCCACTCAGCGTATCTCTCTGCTCATTGATTCACTGTGGGTATCAATGCCTCTTGCCTAGGACTGCAGTAACGATGACCTGGAGGGAGGTGGGTGCTCAGCAAACACTTGTTCAATCCAAAAGGTTTGTATGGGAGGAAAATGGGAATGATTACCCTTGGAATGAAAGGTCAACAATTCAGGGAGAGAGAACGTTATTAAACATGTTGTGTACATTCACATTAGATGTATGTGTAGTTATAAATGATTGTGTGTGGGTTGGTGTAACATTGAGGTTGCACTATTCCAGCTCTCTTTGGACATCGGCCTCACCCACGTCACCCCTGGCTCCTTCAGGACAGGCCTCCTGTGCAGTCTTCTGGCTTCTCCCGGGGCACTGCTCTTGTCGCTGCTCTTCCGGCTCAGCCAGGTACAGTGGCCTTGAACAGCAGCCCCTGCCCTCCCAAGGAGCTCCTCTGCCTGCAGGTGAACACTAGCTCTGAACACCCCTTCCTTCTGCAGGACACCACAGGACCATCCAGAGAGGAGCCTGGCTGCAGGCTGAGGGCCGTGCTAGGGAAGGGGACTCAGGGTAAGTGTGTTATTTAACAACCTGAAAAAGTGTAAAAACTATAACAACAGGAAAATGAAGTCTGACAGCGGACGGTCAAAGAAACCCTTCCCCTGTGGCTGATATTTTGGCCAATCTACCAAGTAGAAATTGTAACTCCTGGTGTTAATTTTAAGGATCCCTAGTAGCGCGATGGTCAAGTGCTTGGCTGCTAACCGAAGGTCAGTGGTTGGAACCCACCAGGGGCTGTCCAGGAGAAAAGACCTGGTGATCTGCACCTGTAAAGACTGTTGTTGTTGTGTGCCGTCGAGTCCATTCTGATTCATAGAGATCTTATAGGACAGAGTAGAACTGCCCCATAGGATTTCCTAGGCTGTAATATTTACAGGAGCAGATTGCCAGGTCTTTCTCCTGCGGAATGCTGGTAGGTTCGAACCACCAGCCTTTCAGTTAGCAGCTGAGTGCTTAGCCATTGAGCCACCAGGGCTTCTTCCTGTAATGATTACAGATTAGGAAACCCTGTGGGGCAGCTCTACTCTGTCATGTGGAGTCGCTATGAGTCAGAATCGACTCCATGGCACATGACAACAACAGCAACCACAGTGTTAATTTCCATTGTGTTAATTATGAGAGCCGTCGAGCATTATTTCATATGTTTAAAAGCCATTTTAACATTTTCTGTGATCTGTTCGTTTCTTTTGCCCATGTGTGTATTAACTTTTCCAAATCCCTCCCTCTTCCTTACATGTAAGTGCTTTTCAGATGGTAAGTAAATCAAGCCTTTGATCAAATAAGTAGTGAATATTTTCTCCCGGTTGCTATTGCTATTCGAGTTAGATTATTACTTTTAAAAAATTTTGTATGGCCAGATTTAGCGATATTTCTCTTAAGGCTCTTTTTACTTTTTCAGCTAAACTCTTTCCTCAAGCTGCTCTGTTTCTGGAGAGCAGCCTCGGGGGTGTGTGTGAAGGGTTGTCTGAGTCCGCCCCAGAATAGCAGCTTTGGGAAGTCCGTATCCTGGTCCTTTCCTGTGTCTCAAGACAGGCTCGTCCAGGTGGAGTCAGGAGGGAGGAGAAGAAAGCACTGTTCTAGTAACTTTACCCAAATCTCTGGTTTAGCATCATACTGAAAAACCGAAACCAAATCCATTGCCATCCAGTCAATTCCGACTCATAGCAACCCTATAGGACACAGTAGACCTGCCCCATAGGATGGCATCATACAGTTGTCTTTTTTTTAAATCAGGTCCTCATTCCAATGGAAGGACACGAGGTGCACAGAAGAAATATAAGGTAAATAGATAATTATGTACAGGAGGGAATTCTCTAGTTTAACATTGTACCAGTTAGATTTCCCTGGCACCCTCCCATGGCTGAGGTCTGACACGGATGGGTCAGGCCCCAGGTGGGTTGGAGACAATGACAAATCTGCAGAAAACCCCATGCTGGCCAAGGGTGGTGGACAGAGGGGGGTCCTTCAGGGAGGACTGTGTTTTCAGGCCAGAGGCCATGGTGGGGCTGTTGTTTGGGAAGGGTCAGGAGAAGGAATCTCAGCAGAAACCAGAAGGCATGCAGCCCCGAAGAACCAGAAAGCCAACTGTGTGTGCTGGTGAAATTTTAGAGGATGAGCCAAGGGCAGGAGAGAATGGGGCTGGGCCGTCCCTGTGAGAACTGAGCTGTGGAAGGAGGGGTCCTGGAGAAGCTGTGCCCATGGTGGGTGAGCGCCACCCTAGGTCTTAAGTGGGACAGATGTGGCTGTGATGCAGGGTCATTTGAAGGGTAATTTCTAAATACCTCAACCGCATTATCCCATTGGTATTTTGCTCCTTTGGGTCTTCAGCTTACGTGTGGCTCTTCCATACGGAAGAGTTTTAGGGCACATAGAACTCCTTTTTTTTTTTTTCTTATTGTGATAAATATATATAACAAAACATTTGCCAGTTCAACAATTTTTAGATGTATAATTCAGTGACATCAATCATGTTCATTATGTTGTGCCCACCATTACCACCATCCTCTTCCAGATCGTTCCACCACTATTAACAGAAACTCCGTGCCCCCTAAGCAATGACTGCAGCCTTTATTTTTTCAAGTCTCTAGATCTCCTGTTCGACAGACCCATGGCTTCCATTTCTTGAGCATAAGCTCTTGCTCCTAGGGCCTGGCTTCCAGTCCCTTTCACGTGTCCTGCCCCACCCCCTCATACACACTTCTTCTGCTCTGAGTGCTCCCCCAAACACCACACTAGTGTTCTGTTTCATTCCGATTTCTTGTGGCCAGAATCCTCGCCTGGGACAGAGTCTAGGTCATGCATTCCCAAGACCAGGTGAGGGGTCTCTCGACTGCAGTGAGCAGCCACCAGAACACCATCACTGCCCCAAAGACACGTGGCCGCCACTGAGGACGTGAGGAGCTGACTCTGGAGGCAGACCTCACCTCTTCTCACTGCACCCCGTTCTCAGAATCCATCCCAAAGCCCAAAGCCTGTGCAGCCCCCACCAGTGTCACCCCTGACCTCTAAGAAAGCTTACAAACGGCACTGCTATTGGGACAAAGCATTACGTGTAAATCTCTCCCCATTGATACACTAACCTTGTCCTAACTATTCTTTTCTAGTGTAACGCATCAGACATCCTCCCTGGGAATGACAGTGGCTGGAGGGCTGACCCTGGTGAGTCTGCTCAAGGGGGAGAAGGAAGGCCCCTCCTCTCAACTTGTACAAGGGCCGCGTGTGGGCGTGGTTTACACGTGCAACTCAGCTCTCTCCCTTCCTTGTCCAGTGTCATCCTGCAGCCGTGGGGACAATGGGACAAGTGCAGGGGGAGCTGGGCAAACGTTCTAATGCCACCTAGAAGCAGGGCGCAGGCACATCTACCCTGGAAGTGTCTCATGTGTTCCGAAATCCTGGTGGTTCTGGCATGGACTTGTATACATTTGGTTACAGTTTTTAAAAAGTCAGTGATAGAATTTTACATTTTTTTAAAGCATTCTGAAATTTGAAGCTTTCCAGTTTTTGATACTAATTACAGTAAAGAATATCTGCAGTGTCAAGATTGTTCTGGAAGTTCAGGGATGAGTCAGCGGAGACGGAAATTAAGCAGGAACAGTGGGGCTGGGTCCCTGGAGCCTGAAAGGAGGGCCAAGTATCTAGGAGTAATGCCCCAGAAGGAACAGTCTCAGCCTGGGCTGGCAGGGAGCAGCAGGGAGCAAGCGACCTGGAGCTGGCACGCGGCTGTGGGGCCTTGGGCAGTGGAGTGGATGAGCAGATGGATTTCTCAGGCTCCAACCCTAGATCCGGGAGCTGGGGATGCTGCTGCTTTGTGGGGTAATGGCGGTGAGGGCGGCACTGGCGGTTGAAAGGGGGGAAGTTGTAGTTGTGCCCACTGTTGCAGAGGGACTTAAACAAGGTGGGGTGTAAAAATGTTTCTTTGTGAGTGAGGCCTCTGGCATGAGAGCTAGGTTCAGTTCAGGGCACTAATACCGGCAGGGAATCGGGGACAAACTAGAAACCATGTCAGATCCTGCTCACCAGGACAAGCCGCACACACGGAAAGCTTGATGTTGGACTGGGCCTGGAAGCGAGAGTGCAGAGTGCCAGGCACCTGCCCAACACAGCCGGCGGGGAGGATGTGGTTGAGGGGCTGTAGCTCAGGGCTCCTCCACTGGCCCGGCCAGAGCACACCCAAGATTTGCCCAATGCCAATTTTCTGGAAGAGCCCCTCCGTCTGTCTAGACACTGTGCTGCTTTGCCTAAATTATGGAGCAGCCTCTGGAGGTGCCCTCTGTGGGGGAGCTACCTCTGAGCTTTCCCTTGTCGAAGTATGGCTCCAGAGTCCTCCATTCAGAGACAGAAAACACTGTACAGGGAATAGCCCTCCGATCATGGGCTTAGCTCTAGAAAAGCCACATCCTAGAAGCTCACACTCCGCCCTGATGCATGTGGGGACTTGATCCAAATCATGGTAGAACCTGCTGACTCCAGGTGACCCTTCTTAGTCGTCCGGAGTGTGGAATGGAAACTGGTTCATCAGCCTCTGATGTTGCGGGGCTCTTGGTGGGCTTAGGGAGGGGGTTCCCTGGGGGCCTCTTAAAGGGTGCAGAGGGATAAGGAAAATTTGGGCTTCCTTTCAGCCAAGACAACAATGGGAAAAGAACGTAAAAGTCCCACGCTAGTAAAATTTGGTGCTACTAAAAGCATTGCCTTCTGTCCTGTTCTTCCTCAGCACCCAGTAGAGGGCTTGCAGGCCTCGCTCCCCAAGGACAGAGGGTGCTTCCACCTTGGTCAGGCTCTGCAGTCTGGGCCCTGTGCACAATGGTGTCCATAGCGTGTGGTTTGGGAACAGGAGTTCTAGGATACAGGTGAGCCGTAAAGTTTTTAAAATATCCTCAAGTCCTTTCAGTGAAGTCAAACATTTGTAGGGAAATCCCTGCATTTCTGGGAACACATGAAATGTGCTTACCACATGTATCTATGCTATTTTCTCCCTCATTAATCACCGGGTGAACAAAATCTTATGCAAACCCCAAGTGGTCGCTTGGCCTGGCCAGGTCTGTGACTGCAGTCCCGGCTGAGATGGACTCTCAGGTATGACAAGAAGCTTCAGGACCCACCGCCCCAGGATGGAAGGATACCGGCAGTTATGAAGCTGCTAAGAGGTCCAGGTGCTGAGCTGGTGCACCCATGTGGAGGGTGTCATTCGTCTTCTCAGGTTGTTAGAAAAAGCGTACACCTGCTAAGCAGGCGTTGGGACTCCTGTTTCCTAGATTCAGACTTAGTTCCACTGCACATGCTCACATGCTGACCCGCCGTCTGGACCCCAGGGCAGCCCTGGTCCATGTTACCTGCCCCCAGGTCTGATTTTGTAGGACTCTGTGGGCCCAACTCTGCATAAAACATGAAGAGGAGCCACAAAATTAAAGCTCTTTGTTCCCTGCTCATTCCTTTGTCCCGGTTGCATGTATTGAATCACTCTGTGATGAGGGACAAGTTACTTGAAAACCTTTCTGCACCTCAGTTTGCTCATCTGTAAAATGTTGTTGTTCTTAGGTGCTGGTGAGTCAATTCTGACCAATAGCAACCCCACGTGACAGAGTAGAACCGCCCCATAGGGTTTTCTAGGCTGTAATCTTTATGGGAGCAGATCACCAGATCTTTCTCCTGTGGAGCCAACCTTTCTGATAGTAGCCAAGTGCCTAACCATTGCTTCACCAGGGCTCCTCCTCTGTAAAATAGGGGTACTAATAGTGTTTCGGAGCTGTGGTGGAGTAGTGGTTAAGAAGGCGGCTGCTAACCAAAAGGTCAGCAGTTCGAATTCACCAGTCACTCCTTGGAAACCCTATGGGGCAGTTCCACTCTGTCCTGTAGCGTCGATATGAGTTGGAACTGACTCGACGGCAATGGGTTTTAATAGCGCTTTGGAATCAACTTGACGGCGGCAATGGGTTTTTTGGGGGTAATAGTACTTAGTTTATAGGATGTTATGAGGGGTGAAGGAAGTACTGAGTGCAACACTGAACGAAATACTGAGTGTTAGCACAGTGCCTGGCACCTACCAAGTGCTCAGCAGATGTCAACTTTATGATTATTATTGTTGTGACTACTACACCACCCCCTTCCCTCCCGTTTCCGGTGTCTGTGCCCCGTTCTGTGTCTGTGTATTGGATTTTCCTTTCTCTTTCTCCTTGAGCACCTTCAGGGAGGTCAGTGCCCTTCTTTGGTCCGGAAGAGCGCCCCCCCCCCACCTTCCAGTGGGCAGAAAGATGCCGCCCCATGTCCACAAGCCCCCTGCTCTGCTGTGGTCCTGCTCACCACCACCAGGGCCCGTAAGTCTCATCTTTCATCTCGGTGCTCAGATAACAACAGCTGCCCTCCAGGGGGCGCTAACCGCCGCTCTCTCTCTTGGCGCAGGTTTGGCCCGACCCAGTGTGTGCGGTGGCTGCATCTGCTGTTTCTCTCCGTGGTGAGCTGCGCTTTTGTCACCCAGCCACTGATGGTAAGGAACACCGTCCAAGGTAGAGCAGCTGTCCATGAACCAGAGGAAGAGGGAAATAAGCGGCAGCGTTGTGGTAATGTCCTAGATTACAGCTTGATGTAAGATGCAATGAGGATAAGCTGGGAGCTAGGCCCTGCGCTAAGCACCGCATGGTGTGTTATTTAATCTCCACAAACGTCCCATTTTACATTTGGAGAAAGAGAGCCTTAGAGAACTGAAGCCCACGGCCACACCTAATGAGTAGGCAGGTGATGACAAATGTACGTTTAGAACCAGGAAGTGGGGTCCCATTTGTGATTAGGTAACAGCAGGACAGGTCTGGTTGTCATGTTCTTCCTTCTAGATATGTTTGATGGCATTGAATTTTGCTTGGAAGAGAAAAGATGACAAAGCCTTTTTTACTGAGTCTCTGTGTGATGCTACCAAGGATTTAGAATTTGAATTGGAGCAACTTTCCCAGACCCGTGTCCCCCTTTCTTCAAGCTGTGGCATTCCTGACTGTGCCAGTGAATTTGAAAAAGTGAGAAAGCTATACAGTTTTAATTTGCGCTTTAGAGAACTACTTTATATTCTCTTCATGCAATCTGAAATCATTCTTGAAATTCAAGTTTGATTGTGTTTTGTGGGAACCATGGGATATATTTCAATTTCTTATGCTTCCTGGCACACATATACATGACAGGTAAACTCAGGAAATGTATTTCCTTACCTTTGTCCTAGTTCCAAAGAAACTAGAACATCAAGGAAATGAACATATTTTAAAATATGGAAACAAATAAGAAATGTAGTTCTTGACCATGATTTTGGAAAACTTTTAGACAATTTGCATTTCAGCAGACCCACAGAAAATCCTTCTTTCCTTCCTTCCTTCCTTCTTCCCTCCCTCCCACCCTCCTTCCCTTCCTCCTTCCTGGATCAGTAAAATGAGTACTGAATGAATGAATGTGGGAATGAGAAACGAATGAATATCTTCGATGGATTGATGGATTGATTTATCTGGCCACTGCTATGCCCTGACTATAAACAAATATAATATGCAAGCAATAATCCATTTTTTAAAAACTAGGAAAACTAAGGTCATTTCTTACTAAGACTCCACTTTAAAATGCCTTCTCTACGCTTTGAGGGTCTCTGAGAAAAAATTCTGTACAAATGCCAAAGATAATTGCTCCTATAATTTGATAGTATTAGATGTGTCTCACATGTAAAGTAAATCTTTTTAATGGCCCAGCTGCAATCCCTGCCAAAAAAACTTTCCTGGGACAGGAGCATACTTTTAAAGTGAGCTACCTCCCCCCACACCCACAGCAACCTGTTATATGTCATCGGGACAAAGTAACTCTGTGTTCCCCAAATACCAGGTAGAGTGCACAACATGGTAATGACCTACTCTTTGGCTTAGAAGGGTTGCCAGGTGCCTCACTCCTGTCATCTCAGCCTGGGGCTTACAGTGCTCTTGTCTCTGACAGATATTGGCCGCCCGGCAGCGAGCACGCCGTCTGCGCTGGGCTCGTCCGCCATCCATGGCCCAGCTCAAAGCAACAAAGGAGAGGATGAGGAAAGAGATTCGTGCACGAGCAACTCTGAGGTGGGTGGGAGCACCTTCGCTGGGTTTGCTGGAGTCTAGCTCCCCATCAGGGGCAAGGTCCTCCAGCCTTGGAAGGGCTTCATCCAGCCATACTTGAAGGTTGTTCATATTTGGCAGTGAGGGAGTGGAAGAGGGAAACTTTTCTGGCACCAAAGCTATCCTTTTCAATATCACACACCATACTCTCAAGTACAGTGCATACAGAGAAACAGAATTGGAGTCAGAAAACTTGTTTCTAGGACTTGCCAGTTTTGAAAAATTGGTCAAGATACTTAATTCTTCTGGGCCTCAACTTCCTTCATCACTCCTACATTCACAGGCATGATGGGATGTAGTCCTCACATACGCATGCACTTAGCACACTGCCTAGTACACGTACTCCTGTGCCATGGGAAACCATATGACAAATATAACACCTCTTCCTAGAGCATCAATTTTAGTCAATGACAAGTATTTACAAATATTTTAATATTAAAATATGCACAGATGTATTACGGTGCGCAATGCAAAATCTGTGTGAATTTTTTAGATAAAACATAACAGTTTAAGAAATATGCTTATGGAAAACGTCTCCAACTTCCCCACCTTAGGCATCTTTCTCTCAATGATACCCATTTTCCTTTCTCATCCATGGTGGTTGCTGGATTTGGGACTACTGGAAGAAGCCTTCCATAAAGACTAGTTGAGACTTTTATTTAAATTCTGAACATGAATTTGGTCTCCCAAGTCTTTCTGATATAGTTTGTCAATGACCTAGGAATTCCTGCCATTTTTCCAAAAATTGTGTCACCAAAGTGTGTAATGGAACCACAACCAACTATTTTTTATCAAAAACCACTTCATTACAATTGGAGCACCATCAGATCCATCTTTAATACAGTGCACATTCTAAAGAAAATTCTTTTCCAAAGAGAAGAGCTCTGTTAGTGTTTGAATAGCAAGTTTAAAGGAGGTTGGGAAGGGGATTCAGAAGGTGGAACAAAGGCATAATTTTCTAATCTTCCCAAATGTCTCCATAAAAATTGACAGAGTGACTAAAATAGCAAACTAAAAACCCACGGAAAACACCTACAGCAAAATTAGATGATATAGTACCCCACATGCCTCCAAATGTATGCAAGTAGGGGCAAATGACTGAGCCCGGGAGACTTGTGGTCAGTCAGTGTCTCTACAGAGCAAAGTGCAGAGAAGTGCTATGGCATCTGAGGGACTGGAGAGTCCACATCACCCTCAGGCCGTTTTCACTGGAGAGTGCAACGGGACAATGTAAGGGCAGCAGGGGCAGGGAGGGCTGTATACCCTCCAGTTCACAGGCCAGGGCGAAATCCAGGGGTCTAGAGCCATCTGGGCCAGCAGAACATGCAAAGCCAACAAATGCCCAGTTCTGTTCAAGACACAACACTGGAGTGAGTGCTAAGAAACCCCCAGCAGCAGAGTCCAGGCTGAGCAGGATGGGACAGTTAGACCAGAGAGTGCAATTGGAGGCAGCAGACTTGGAAAGAAGTAAAACTAGCCCTCTTTGCGTATGTCATGATTGAATGTCTGGGAAACCCCCCACCAAAAGAAAGAAAAAGGAAGGAGGGAGAGAGGGAGGGAGGGAAGAAGGGAGAGAAGAAGGAAGGAAGAAAGGAAGGAAGTAAGGGGAAAAAACCTAATACAAATAGTAAAAGAATTCAGTAAAATAGCTATAATATTTAAAATACAAGCTCACCAAACCTCATATAGGATAGATCCCCCCCCAAAGCAAATCACCAAGACATATCATAATCATATTTGCCAAAACCAAAGGCAAAGAAAGAATACAGAGAGCAGCTCGAGAAAAATGAAGTCACTAACAAAGGGGAAACAATTAACAAGTCCCAGAGAAAGAAGGGATCAGTATCCAAAGTTGCTAAAATATATGCTCTAAAATGTTCATATTTTAACAGAAAATTATGAAGCATGCAAAGGAAAGTGTGTGCCATCCACAGGGAAAAAAACAAGCAACAAAAACTGCCTGTGAGGATGACCACATGCCAGATTTAACAGATTAAGACTTCAAAGCAGCTCTTACAAATATGTTCAAAGAACTAAAAGAAATCATGATTAAAGAAATAAAAGGAGGTATGATAACAATGTTGCATCAAAGAGGATATCAATAAACAGAAATTATAAAAAAGAACCAAATGTAAATTCCAGAGTTGAAAAGTGCAATAACTGTAATGAAGAATTCCTTAGAGGAGCTCAATAGTAAATTGAACTGGTAGAAGAATTAATGACCTTGAAAATAGATCTATAAAGATTTTGCACACTATACATAAAAACTAACCCAAAATGGATTAAAGACCTAAAAATAAAATCTAAAATGATAAATATCATGGAAGAAAAAATAGGGACAATGTTAGGGGCCCTAATATATGGCATAAATAGAAAACAAACCATAACTAACAATGCACAAGCACCAGAAGATAAACTAGATAACTGGAACCCCTAGAAATTAAACACTTATGGCCATCAAAATCCTTATCAAAAAAGTAAAGAGAGAATCTACACACTGGGAAAAAAGTTTTGGCTATGACATATCCAACAAGGGTCTAACCTCTAAAATCTTTAGACTACTTCAACAACTCAACAACAAAAAGACAAATAATCCAATTAAAAATGGGCAAAGGACTGTGGGCGGCCATCTGGGATACTCCACTGGTCTCATCCCTTTGGGAGCAAGGGAAAATGAAGAGAACAGGATACAAGGAAAAGATTAGTCCAAAGGACTAATTGTCCACAGCTACCAAGGCCTCCACCGGACTGAGTCCAGTACGGCTGGATGGTGCCCGGCTACCACCACTGACTGCTCTGACTAGGATCACTACAGAGGGTTGTGGACAGAGCTGGAGAAGGATGTAGAGCATAATTCTAACTCACAAAAAACAGACCAGATTTACTGGCCTAAAGGAGACTGGAGAAACCCCAAGAGTGTGGCCCCCAGACACCCTTTTAGCTCAGTGGTGAAGTTACCTCCGAGGTTCACGGTTCAACCTGGGAGTGGACAGCCCCGTAAAACCAAATGAGACTAACGAGGTACAGGAGTCCAGTGACAAGGGCCAGAAAGCAGAAGGGGACAAGGAAGCTGGTGATAGGGAACCCAGGGTTGAGTAAGGATATTGTTGATGTGTTGTGAGATTGTTAACCATTGTGATAGGGCAACATTTGTAGTAACTGTTAAATGAGAAACTGTTTTGTTCTGTAAGCCTTCATCTTAAGTGAGAATAACAGCACAATTCGAAGAGCGTAGTCAATGTCACTGAACTGTACATGTAGAAATTTTTGAAATGGTGTATCTTTGGCTATGTGTATTTTCACCAAAAAAAAAAAAAAAAGAGGTTGAGAAGTTAGAGGGTTAATATGTTGTGGGGTTGTTAACCAATGTTATAAAACAACATGTGTACTTCTGTTTCATGAGAAACTATTTGTTCTGTAAGCCTTCACCTGAAGTACAATAAAAAAAATATATATATATAAAAAGAGGGCAAAGGATATGAACAGACACTTCACCAAAGAAGACCTTCAGTCTGCTAAAAGACACATATGGAAATGCTCGAGATAATTAGCCATTAGAGAAATGCAAATCAAAACTACATTGAGATACCATCTCACCCTGACATTACTGGTAGGAATAAAAAAAAACAGAAAATAAGAAATGTTTGAGAGGTTAGGGGGAGATCTTCTGCACTGCTGGTGGGAGCGGAAAATGGTACAACCACTATGGAAAACAATTTGGTGCTTCCTTAAGAAGCTAAAAATAGAAATACCGTGTTGTTGTTGTTGTTGTTGTTAGGTGCTGTTGAGTCAGTTCCAACTCATAGTGACCCTATGTACAACAGAATAAAACACTGCCCAGTCCTGTGCCACTCTCACAATCATTGTTATGCTTGAGCCCATTGTTGCAGCCACTGTGTCAATCCATCTCGTTGAGGGTCTTCCTCTTTTTCTCTGACCCTCTGCTTTACCAAGCAAAATGTCCTCCAGGGACTGATTCTTCCTGATAGTATATCCAAAGTATGTGAGATGTAGTCTTAACCATCCTTGCTTCAGAAATACCATACAATCCAGCAGTCCCCCTCCAAGGAATATATCCTAGAGAAATAAGAGCCATCCCACCAATAGACATATGCACACTCAAATTCCTTGCAGCATTATTCACAATAGCAAAAGATGAAAACAACCTAAGTATCCATCAACAGAGGAATGGATAAACAAATTATGGTACATACACACAATGGAATACTATGCAACATTAAAGAATAATGACGTTTTAGTCATCTAGTGCTGCTACAACAGAAATACCACAAGTGGATGGCTTTAACGAAGAGAAATTTATTTCTTCATAGTAAAGTAGGCTAAAAGTCCAAACTCAGGGTGTCAGCTTTCTTTCTTTGTTGGCCTTCTCATCAATGTTTCCCCGGACCAGGATCTTCTCTGCACAGGAACCCTGGGTCCAAAGGACACACCCTGCTCTTAGCATTGCTTTCTTGGTGGTATGAGGTCCCCCGTTCCTCTGCTCACTTCTGTCTTTTATATCTCAAGAGATTGCCTCAGGACACAGTCCAGCCTTGTAGATTGAGTCCTGCCTCACTAACACAACTGCCACCCATCCTCCCTCATTAACATCATAGAGGCAGGATTTACAACATATAGGAAAATCACACAATACCCGGAATCATGGCCCAGACAAACTGACACACACATTTTTGGGGGGACGTAATTCAATCCATGACATCATGACGAATCAGTAAAACATCTCACAACATAGGAGGGCATTATACTTAGTGAAATAAGTTAATCACAAAAGGACAAATACTGTGTGAGACCACTACTATAAAAAACCATAAAAAGGTTTACGCACAGAGAAAAACAATCTTTGATGGTTACATGAGGTGGGGGAAGGGCTGGGGAGGGGAAAACACTAACTAGATAGTAGACAAGTATTAACTTTGGTGATGGGAAAGACAACACACAACACAGGGAAAGCCAGTACAATCTGACCAAGGCAAAGTCATAGAAGCTTCCTTCACACATCCAAGCACCTGGAGGGACCAGTTCACTGGAGCTGAGGGCTGGGGACCATTGTCTCCCGGGACATCTAGGTCAATTGGCACAAGATAGTTCATGAAGAGAATAGTCTACATCCTACTTTGGTGAGTAGCATCTGGGGTCTTAAAAGCTTATGAGCGGCCATCTAAGATACATCTTTTGGTCCCATCCTGTCTGGAGCAAAGGAGAATGAGGAAAACCAAAGACACAAAGAAAAGCCTAGTCCAAAGGACTGATCTACCACATGAACTATAGCCTCCACCAGACTGAGCTGAGAAGAACTAGTTGGTGCCCAGCTACCGCCACTGACTGCTCTGACAGGGATCACAATACAGGGTCCCAGACAAAGTGGGAGAAAACTGTAGAACAAAATTCAAATTTACACACACACACACACACACACACACACACACACACACTCACACACAAAAGATTAGACTTACTGGTCTGATAGAGACTGGAGGAATCCCTGAGACTATGGTACCCAGATACCCTGCTAACTCAGAACTGAAGCCACTCCTGAAGTCCACCTTTCAGCCAAAGATTAGACAGACCTGTAAAACAAATAACAACACCTGTGAGGAATGTGCTTCTTAGTTTAATCAAGTATAGGACCCCAAATGGGCAACACCTGCCCAAAAGCAAAGACGATAAGGCAGGATGGGACAGGAGAACTGGACAAATGGACATGGGGAACTCGAGGTGGAAAGAGTAAGGGGGAGAGTGCTGACACAATGCGGGGATTGCAACCAATGTCACAAAACAATTTGTGTATAAATTTTCGAATGAGAACCTAATTTGTGCTGCAACATTTCACCTAAAGCCCAATAACATTAAGAAATAAATAAACAGAAACACCCTGTAATCCTGAATTCGAATTGAAAGTATAAGTTTAAAATCTTTTTTTTTTTTTTCCTAGCTTTGTCCACCCAAAAAAGGCCTAGAAACAACCCAGTAGCAATGAACACCCCTAGCATTGAGATTCTGGTCTCCAAATACTGTTTTCTACAAAAAGGACAAGCGACCCTTGAAATTCCTGATTTAAGGTCTGGGACAGAAAATATACAAGACAAGCCCAAACATTTCCTTTGTGAGGAAGTAATTAAACACTACTACAGTCATTGCCAAAGGACTCAGAAGCCAATTCAGAAGGATTCACGTTGGTTAAAGGTGGATTCACTTGACGTGAAATCAAGAATAGTAACTGATGTGGGTTGAAGCACATCTAATCTATTTGAAGCCATGAGTTTGTAATGACACTAAAAAAATGTAATTTATCAGTGTTAGAGTATGCTAGGGAGTCAACTTTTTAAAAACTGGTGAAGAAAGTATCAATCCTGTCTTTCCTATACAAACTATACCCCCGGGAAACCAAATAATGGAAGAGGGGGTGTTTGTCTTTATAGACGTACTCCAGGCAATCAATGAAGGCAAAATAATAGAATTGGAACATGACCGCTCTGCAACCTGTAATGAATTAATGAATCTAGGCATTAACACAAACTAGCTGCAACATGAAGGAAAGAGAAGGGGGAGGGAGGAGAAAGAGAGATAGAGAAGAAACAGTTACACATTTCGTGTCTTTTGATGGAAAAATACACTACCTAGCCAAAAAAGTCAAATCTTAATCTTATTAAGCTTCTTCCCCAACTTCCAGGTTACTATAAGAACACATGAAATAACGCCACAAAGAAGCAATCAGCAAATTCCAGACTGTGAGAAACTTTACAGCACAAAAAATCAGTTTTTTCAACAAATAAATTGCAAAGAAACTAAAAATACTGAAAAAAAATAGAGCTGGAGGTGGTATCTATATATTAAAAGAGACTTAAGAGGAAAATTAGTTAATATATTCATTATATTGACAGACAACATTTTAAAAATTGTATGACCATCTCGGTAGATGAAGAAAAAGTATTTGACAAAATTCAACATTTGTTACTGGAAAAAAAAAAAAATCTTTCAGCAATCTAGGAATAGAAGGGAGCTTCCTTAACCTAATAAAGTGGTTAAGACCTACAGCTGCTAACCAAAAGGTTGGCAGTTCGAATCCACCAGATGCTCCTTAGAAACCCTATGGGGCAGTTCTGCTGTGTCCTGCAGGGTTGCTATGAGTCGGAATCAACTCTACAGCAATGGTTTTTTGGTTTCCTTAACCTAATAAAGGGATCTATGAAAACCCCACACCTAACATTATAGTTAATGGTGAAACATTACATGCTTTTTAAGATCAAGAACAAGGCCAGGATGTCCTCTCTCTCCCCTCCTATCTAACATTGTGCTAGAAGTCCTAGCCTGTGTAATAGACAAGAAAAAGAAACAACGAACATATGGATTTAAAAGGAATAAATCAAAGTCTTTATTGGAAAATGACATGATTAGTCTTTGCAGAGAATCACAAAGAATCTTGAACAAGCTCCTAGAACTAATAAGTGAATTTAGCAAGTTTTCAGGATACTGTTGTTGTATGTTGTCAAGTCGATTCCGACTCATATCAACCCTGTATGACAGAGTAGAACTGCCCCATAGGGTTTCCTAAGCTGAAATCTGACAGGAGCAAATCACAAGGTCTTTTCTCTCATGGAGCCACTGGTGGTTTTGAACTGTCAATCTTTGGGTTAGCAGCCTAGCGCTTAACCATCACACCACCAGGCCTCCTTGTTTTCAAGGTACAAGGTCAATATACTGAAGTCAATTGTGTTTTTATATTTCAGCAGTGAAGAATTGGAATTAAAAAAAAAAATACCATTTACAATAGCACTAAAGAAGTGAAGTACTTAAATATAAATCTAAGAAAATGTTGAAAACTACAAAACTCTAATGAAAGAAATGAAAGAAGATCTAATTAAATGGAAAGATAGACCATGTTCATGAATTGAAAGCCCCAATGTTGCTAAGGCATCAATTCTTTCCAACTTGGTCTATAGATTCAGTGTCATCCCAGTAAAAACCCTTCAAGCTTTTAAATAGATAACAATGAGTTGTTTCTAAAATTTAAATGGAAAGCAAAGGAACTAGAATAGGCGAAACAATTCTGAAAGAAGAAGAAAAAAGTCAGAGGACTCACTCTATCCAATTTCAAGACTTACTGTAAACCTACAGCAATCAAGACAGCATAGTGTTGACAAAAGAACAGACACACAGATCAATGGAACAAGATAGAGAGCCCAGAAATAGGCCCACACAAAGGCATGAATGCAATTCAGCAAAGGATGGTCTTTTCAACAGATCATAATGGGAAAGTTGGATATGGGTATGCAAAAAAGAAAACACATAATTCACACCTTGTACAAAAATTTCCTCTAGGAATATCTTTTTTCTCAGGACTTTCAAAGCCCATTTCTGTTAAAAATGTTTTGCTGAGTGAAAGAACTGTGTGTATACACAAGAGGTCTGTGAAGATACTGATTTTTAAATATCTTTCTTACAGAGACTTTTTCATGTACCTCCTCATGCTGCTTCTGCTTATGTTTATAACATATGGGAAATTCTCCCACGATGAATATGCTCTCAATCAAGCTATTCGGAATGAATTTACAAGGTAGGAAGTTCTGGTGAACTTCTCTAGATCTGGGCCATTGTATAGGAGTGACCTACTCATGGCCAGTTATGGCCAATATATGTCCACAGGGAAGCTCAGGGCTCCAGGTAAGGGTATCTGTGGGAAGCCCAACACTCAGGGCTCTAGGTGAGTGTTTACTTGAGCTTGTTACATGGAGCAAGCCAGATCATGTCTTTATTTTCTAATTTAGACAGAGTCAGAGAGGAAGGGACCCTTAAAACCATCTAGTCCACTCCCTCTGTTCATTTTGCCTTTGCAAGATTGAAGCCTAGAGAAGGATTTTCACCAAGTTGGAGATTGAGTTAGGGCTGTCTTCTCTGATGTGAAATATGGAAAAGGTTACCAAATGGACGCATGGACACCATTCTCCCCAGTGTCAAGGGGCCTCCATTCACGGATACGGGGACTTTGGGCATGTTCATAATGTCTCATTGTGGTAAATAGTGGAACAATATTTCGAGGCACTTTAAGATCTGGGAGCTTCAATGCTGTGCCAAAATAGGGTATAGCAATTTCCTTTTTGCTGAAGACATCTAAGTTCTTTAATTGATGACATTAGCAAATGCAAATACCTTCTTGAGTTCTCTGCCTTTTCTCAGCCATTCATTTGTTTCTTACTACTTTTAAAAGTAGTAGATATTCACAGTAGGTAAATAAAGAAAGAGCTGAAAAATCCAAAGCTGGAAAATTTCCATAATACTACCTCCCAGAAACAACCGCTGATGAATATTTTTTTCTGTCATATTTCTTTGGTTCTAAAAAGCATAGTTTACGTGTTTCAACATTTCTGAAATTGGGATACATATATGTTATAATCAATGTGTACATTTAATGTAGCATTTCTTTTTTTTTAACTGAAAAGTTATTAACTTAATGGTCAGACTTTATTTTCACCTGCCAAAAATATTCAGTCCAATAGTTCTTTCAAAGCAGTTTGGCTTTGAAATCTGAAGTGCTGATATAAATTAATACTGGTTCTTTACTGTGGTCTCAGTAGAAGGAAATAAAATAATTCAGTACTCTCCAGGATTTGCTTTCTCTTTCTCCGGAGATTTTTTGCAAACACGTTCCTGCAGCTTTCCTATGAATGTATTGCCTTTGACTAAGTGATTTGATTTGATGTAAATTACTTATGTTGCATTTTTTTTTGGCAGGGCTGAATCACTGGAAAATCCAGTCAATTCTTCTGGTATTTCAGGGCATATTATTTCGTGTTCTACAAAAGAGTGGATGACTGATAACCAGAGATAATGGCTCTCTAATGTCATCCCACATGTCAGTTATATGACCCACTAGTAAAGTAAGACTTGGATGTTCTAGTTAAAAGAGTCTGAACTCTCTGTAACTCAGTAATCCAACCTTTTATTGACGAACATCCTAGAAGTGAAATTAAGTGATATTTTCAATCTCTGCATTTACAAAAACAGCAGTTATTTCCATTGACAACCAACTTCTGACACTCCCATTTGTGCAGACGTGAGGTTTGTGCCAGTAGGTGGCGCTGTGTGCAAAACAAAGAGACCACTTTGGTAGTTTCTGTCTGGAACGGAAAATCTAAACGTGAACATTTTCTGGCTTTTGCTAGTTTATTTTTTAGCTCACATTTCGAAAATCAGCATTATTTGTCATATTTCTCCTATTTTTGCCTTTTGATATTAAAATCAGAAATATTCAACTGAGATAGTATTTGTGAGATGTCTCCTGTGCACAAGCGACTAATTCATGCCTCGAAGGGCCATTTGCCATTGGTTCATGTTGACCTCATATTTCCCACAAGGATGCAAAGACTCTACCTCTGGCCGCTCTGGCCACCAGGCAGGGGATATTTATGTATCCTGGTTTATAACGGAATGTTTAAATTGGATATTTTCCCCACCTATCCCCCTCAGTGTATGATCCTGAAACATCAACCATTTTTAGGGTTTGACATTTGCTAGCATCCTAGGTGGAAGAACTAAAGCCCAGTAGCAAAGAAATGGATTAAGTAGAACTCGAGGACTGGGGTTCTAGCCGTTATCTGGTGACCAGGTGATGCTGGGCAAGTCTTCTGGGCCCTACTGTCCTCATCTGTAAAGTGAAGCAGGTGGGCTACTTGATTTCTAATGTCGTAACAAAAAATTATCATATTATTGAGTTCCTTCTTCTTTAAGCTTTATTTTAAGTGGTCCTAAAATCAACAAAGACTCTATGAAATTCCAAATAAAACAAAACAAAAACCACCAATCAATGGCATAGATGTTCTCTCCATGTACCATACGTGGAAAACAACTGCGTATTTTATCTTTTGCATTGTCCAGCTTAGACCTCTTCTATTTAATTCCTCGAATTAATAGAGACAGGGCTAGAGTATTCTTGGATTGTTTGGTTCACCACACGCACTCCAAGCTTGTCAGGAATGAGGCGTGACATGTAGACAGTTGGGGTGTGGACCATTTTGTCTCTGAGTCACACTCAGTTCTTGACTTCAGCGTTATCCCAGCTGGGGAGCAAGTAGAAGGAGGTGAAAGTTTACCTGAAAGTTGTAAAAACACAACATGGCTTTAAAGATCTACAATACTGTTACTGTTTTTTTTAAAAAAACACAAAATATGGATCATATTAGTCTGTAAATGGGATAAATGTTTGTCTGTCAAATGGGATCCAGCAGTCTTGCTTCCCAAGAGCAGATGCTTAAGATTTTACTCTGTTGAAAATGAACCATCTTTCTTCACCTCTCCCCTCGCCCTTCCCCTCCCTCCTTCTCTCAAGCCTGCCCTCCCTCCGCCTCTCCCTCACTGTCTCTCTCTCTGTTCATCCTTTTCCTTCCTGACTGAGGTTGTGAATGCTTGCAGAGCTGGTTCTGCTTACTTTACGCCTCCCATCTCTGTCTCCAGAAGTATCTCCTGTCACTACTTCATCCCACCTCTGGGTGCTTTGGCGGGTCTACAACTCGCCTTACACTTGACATATATTTTGATCAAAGTTTGATTGTTGTTAGCTGCTGTTGAGTCACCCCCAAGTCACGGCAGCGCCATGCACAACGGATCAGAACATGCCTGGTCCTGTGCCATCCCGTGATTCATTGCAGGTCAGACCATTGTGATCCGTGGGGTTCTCATTGGCTGATTTTTAGAAGTAGATCACCAGGCCTTTCTTCCTAGTCTTAGCCTACAAGCTCCACTAAAACCCGTTCAGAAATCAGAGCAACACGCAAGCCTCCACTGACTGACAGGTGGTGGCTGAGCATGCGGGGCACTGGCCTGTTATTGAACGGGGGTCTCCCGCATGGAGGGTGAGAATCCCACCACTGAACCACCACGGCACCATGCTGACTCCCTACTATGTGTCAATACTGCACCTCATCTGTGCCTCTCCTCCAGTGCTCAGAGCCATCTTGGTGGAAAGATCTTGGTGTTACTGTTGTCCGTTTTGGGTGAGGAAAGAAAAATTAAAAGACATGCTCAGCAAGCAATACGTGGTGAGAAAGGACTTGGATATTGATTCGTGTGACCCAGAGCCTCCTCCTTCTCCTCCTACCCCCGTTGTTCACTCTGCACCAGCCACACTGGCCTCCGTGCTGTTCCTGAACCTTCAGGCACGTTCCCGCCCCGGCCTGTGCCCCTGCCATCCTTTCTGCCTGGAATGCCATCCCTCGGTGTCCATGTGGCTCATTTCTTCAGGCCTTTGCTCAAATACCACCTTCTATTGAAACATTCCCTGGACACTTGGAGCTAAAATATTCACCTCCCCATCCCACAACGGCCTGTCTTTTCTGCTTAACCTTTTCTCTGTAACAGTTATTACTAACATAGCATATATCTTGCTTATTTATCTTATTTGTTGTTTGTTTTGAAGGAGCCCTGGTGGTGCGATAGTTAAGCACTCACCTGCTAACCAAAAGGCCAGTGGTTTGAACCCAGCAGTGGCTCGGTGGGAGAAAAGACCTGCAGTCTGCTCCCATAAAGATTTCAGCCTAGGTAACCCTATGGGACAATTCTATTCTGTCCTGTAGGGGCACTGTGAGTCGGGATCAACTCAACGGCACACAACAACACCATTGTTTGTTTCCTCTAACTGTGAAGGGACTTGGTTTTTGGTTTCCCATTGACTATAACAGTGCCTGGGACGTGGTAATTGCATAATTTGTGGAGTGAATACGTGAGTGAATGAATAAGTACTTTGTCCACCATACTGTCCTATCTCCTGTTACTAAGTATCAGAATGAGTGCTGGGGTTTGGTACCTCAAAATATAGATGGTTTTGGTTTTAATTTCTTCAGAGTCTCTGAAAAGTGTTTAGTTTAATGTGAATTAGAGGAAAAAACAATGACAGGAAAAACATTTTCGTTCTCACCGTTAATTGTTCCTGTGGATGCAGAAATAACGTTTTGTTTTTCTTCTTGCATTAAGAAATGCTGAGAACTCCTTTGGGGGCCTGAGAAGCACCGACGCCTGGTGGGAGTGGAGTCTGACCAGGCTTCTGGATGGCCTGTATGGGGCTGACATGCAGGGGGCCCAGGTGGGTCTTCCACTTTCCTCTCTGCAGTAGTATCAGCTCAGAAAAGCCATGTGATACTGGCGTGAACCAGTAAAAAATATGCTGTTCCTCTCCCTGCACAATCCCAGCACCCTCCCCAGCTACACCTGATCCCCCAGGTTAATATACTCTCAGGCCCTCGCTAGATGCAGGGGCATGGCAGCCCCATAGGAGCTTTCAGGCTGATAGCATGAACGGTGAGAAAATAGAAGGTTCTAGTTCAGTGTGCAAGTGCCATGAAAAGGGGAGCCCAAGGAGCAGCCTCGGAACAGAGGAGGGGCAAATGGCTGGCATGGAAGCATCAAGGGAGCTTCCTGCAAGCGGCGAGGCTTGTCCCAAGATATGCACTGTGTATAACTCCATTCCCGTTGCTGTTATCAGGTGCCGTTGAGTCAGTTCCGACTCATAACAACCCTACATACAACAGAACAAAACACTGCCCAGTCCTGCGCCATCCTCACAATCATAGCTATATTTGAGCCCATTGTTGCAGCCACTGTGTCAGTCCATCTCGTTGAGGGTCTTCCTAGCTTATCTTTTATTTTCTACCTTTTTCTTTTTATAAAATGAGTTTGTCCTGCATTTCCCAACCACTTTATTTCTAATGTTATTTCGATGTATTCTGTGTAATCACTGAGTTGAAACTGGAGAAACTTTAGGAAAAGATAAAAAGATTCTTATTTGGTACAAATCATGGAAGCACCGTTTGAATTTTAGACTCTTTCCAGGACAAGACTGTGGAGGTAGTTGCTGTCTTTCTTAGAATGATGATTAAAGTCTGAGAATGTCTTCAGAAGGAAAATAAAATTCTGACCTCCAGTTTAGCAGGCAAAGTTACCCAGCACATACCCACTCCTTTTTAGTACTACTTGATGATGCTGTTTTAAGTCTGCAATATTTCCAGTCATTTTAATTTTTTTCTACTTTTAGTCTGGAGCTCTTGGAGGAAAATGCTATCTAATTGGCATCTCAATAATTAAACAGCTAAATACTTCTCTGAATAGTTTATGCAAGGTAAGATATTCTTTTCTCCTCTAAAAATAAATTAAATTAGAACCAACCAGGAGACATTTAAGGATCCCTGGTGGCACATGGAAGCTCTGATAGTGTAGTGATTAAGAGCTTGGCTGCTAACCAAAAGGTAGACAGTTCAAATCCACCAGCTGCTCCTTGGAAACCCTATGGGGCAGTTCTGCTCTGTCCTGTAGGGTTTCTATGAGTAGGAATCGACTCCACAGCAACAGGTTTGGTTTTGGGTTTGGTGGCACAATGATCAAGCTCTCGGCTGCTGACCCAAAGGTTGGTAGTTCGGATCTACCAGCGGTTCTGGGAGAAAAGACCTAGCGATCTGCTCCTGTAAAGATGACAGCCTGGGAAACTCTATGGGGGCAGTTCTGCTCTGTCCTGTAGGGTCATTATGAATTGGCATCGACTCAAGCAGCACACAACAACAACAGGAAACATTTGGGCAGGAAATTGGTAGATAATTTTAATCGTCTCTGGGAGCCTGGCTAATCATGTGTAATGTGTGAGTTGCCAAGTTTGGGGCAGTGTAAGCCTTGACTTCCCTTTCCTTCTCCCTTCCAGCCTTTCCAAAAACTTCTTCCTGTCCTGGCACTCTGCTGCAAGGCTAGTCATTTGCGGTCTGACCTTTAGAAGACTTAACATCTTAGGTGAAACCAGAATATTTTAAATGTTAAAAGTAGAATCCTGACAAATCTTTCTCTGATTGTGCCCACTCCTATGGGCACTTTACCTTGATCATCTCCCATAATAGGATGATATTCAGATTGTCCAGGCCCAGGCAGTCAGATGCCCCAGGTTCTAGATACTCAGCAGATACAGCGGGAGACCACGTGTGCCATGTTTCAGAATGTTGGCTGTGCCTATGTCGGCCAGGGTTTGCAAACCCCAGAACGCAGGGTGAAATTTGAAATATGTGCCTGTTTCTTCTCTGGTGGTTTCTTTTTCAGCTTCCCAGCCCATTTGCATCTCTTATCAAAGACTCTCTTCCTGCCTGTAGCCCCGGTGTCAGAGGGCCTGTAAACCACCACATGATAGACCCAAAGAACCAAAAAGTGACCTCGGGTCATCCCGAGGGCTGCAGGGCGAGAGAGAACTGTGCGCTCCGCCTGGGCAGGACAAGGTCAGTATGTTCAGAGGGCCTGTGATCGTCAGCGTGTGTGCTGGACGTGACCACTCTGTGGCCAAAGGCAGCTTCCCAGAGGGCCTCCGGGGCAGGCCCATCACTCACAGTGATGGGAACAGGCCCCAAGGGTTAGGGCAGGCTTGTTGCTATTGTCAGAGCACAGAAGAGTAACTGGCCCAGGTCACCAGCTAGTGCGCAACACGATTAGAATTGAAACTCAGGTCTTCAGACGCTAAGTGCGTAAGAAAGGGTTCAGCAGAACATTCTTCCCGAAAATGCTGAATTTATTCTCAGAAGGCCTGAGGTCATGGAACATAATGGACATTTATTGTACAAAGCTGAACACTGTGTCCCACGTAATCCCCACACAACTCTGTGAAATAGTGCTAGTACTACTTTTGTGTGACATTGTACAGAGGAAGGAATTGAGGCTCAGAGACGCTGAAGCGCTCCCAAGGCACAGCCAGGATGTGAAGCCAGCCAGCCTGCAGTGCCCTGTGTCCTGCCTACCTGGCTCCCGGCGGCACCATGCTCCTTTACATGTTATTGAGATTGTACTGACACCGAGCGGTGACCCCATTTGATGGTTAGAGCAATGTATGCCTTTAAGTAATATAAAAGAAGAAAAAAAAAAAGGAAAAGGAAACCATCTACTAGGTACTAAATGTGGATTGTTAAAAATAATTTCTTTAAACAATGGGGGCCATTGCAGAAAAAGAAAACTGGATATTGCGGAGCCCTTGGTGCTGAAATGCTGGGAACACCCCCTCATACTGTGCTGTGAGGAACCAGAAGCCCTCCTCTCTGCAGCCCCCCTGCCTGCATGTCCATCCTGGCCGCCGTGGACGGCAAGAGGGTAGGGCAAAGAGAGAGGGACAAAGGGCTATTGAGCGACTCCACGGCTACAGAAAGGCCCATCTGTGTAGCTCTTTGAAGCTCAGGGGTTGTTTTTCTTGAGAAGGCTTGCCTCAGGCATTCACAATGTGGGGACTGCCCCGTGGACTTTGTGGATTTCAAAGCCCTTCTGTCTTCCCTTGACTTGTGCTGCTTTGCAGGCCTGAAGCCCACACAACCCTGACCCACCTCAGGGCCAACCGATGGATCGGCCGAGACACCAGGGCCGTCTCTGTGCACTTTGTCCTCTACAACCCTCCAACCCGGCTCCTCACCAGCGTGTCCCTGAGGGCGGAGGTGACCCCCACAGGGCATCTCCTTCCCTCCTCACAGGTGGAGTCGGCCAGTGTCTTCCTCAGGGACTTGGCCCTGAGATACCCCCTCATGGTTACAGAGGTAAGTTCAGGTCAGCTCCCCTGCCTCGTCGCAGAGCCCAGGAAGAAGTACTGCAGCAAAGAGCTGGGCTGCCTCACCAACAGGACTCATCCCTCCAGACACCCCGGGCCACATTCCCGTTACATGGCGGTGTTATTAGGAGTTGGGGCATACCCCAATGGGGAAACCAATCACCATATACATGGCATGTGCAACTATAGAGCTACTTGACATACAGAATTCATCTTAGGGGGATTGGGACTGATGTCTAGATTCTTCGCATGGGTCTTGGTAAGGTAGAAGATGTTCATGTAGCTTCACAAAACAATCAAGAGCATAGGAAGTCACTGTGAACGTTTTCTCAGGGCCTTTTCCTGATTTTTTTTTTTTTTTTTTGCCTGTATTTAAGTTTTCAGCTATGCAAAACAAAGATTTAGTGACATTTCAGGTCAAGTATACAGAAAACTGAGATGAGAAACACGTTGCCTTAGGAGTATAACCAAAATCCAGTTGCCATGGAGCTGACTCCGACTCATGGTGACCCTATGTGTAGCAGAGTAGAACTGCATTCAATAAAGTTTTCAAGGGCTGATTTTTCAGATGCAGATCTCCAGGACTTTCTTCCAAGGTGCCTCGGGGTGGACTCAGACTGCCAACCTTTCAGTTAGTAGCTGAACATATTAACTATTTGCACCACTCAGAGACTCCCTTAGGAGTGAAGAGTGTGGAAACTCATGATATTTCCGATTCTGTGGCTTGTCCAATGATGGTGAAGGTTGAGATTGTGAGCAGAGCCCCAATGCTCTGCTTGTATGTTGGGGTGGGAAGGGAAGGCTGGAGAAGGAGCAGGGTCTGGAGTAAGGCAAGGCAGGTGAGGCACTTGCCGCAAGAGCAAAACTGTAAAGGGCTCCAAAATCTCAGGCATCAAGGTAAGTAATGCTGTAATGCAATATTTTCAACAATGAAAATTAAAGTAAAAAGTCCATGATGGACAAAATATCAAAATTTTAAATCAAAACCCAATCAGTATAGTTTTTTCCTTTTGCCTCAGGCTCCAGTATGGGTCCACACATCACTGCTTTTTAACACCTTTATATTAACCACCAAAAATGAACTCTCCTCTATTTGCGTTTGTAGCTTCATATAGCGGGCCCATGGGGGACAGTACATACCAAAACCAAACCCCCTGCTGTGGAGTCAATTCCGACTCATAGCAACCCTGCAGGACGGAGTAGAATCATTCTATAGGGTTTCCAAGCTCATAAATCTTTACAGAAGCAGACTGCCACATCTTTCTCCTGCAGAGCGTACGGTGGGTTTGAACCGCTGACCTTTTGGCTAGCAGCCAAGCACTTAACCACTGCACCACCAGGGCTCCTACATATAACCCCAAAAGAAAACAAAAAGTAATGTATAAAGCTTCTTGCTAATGTGGTTCAAACCCTCAAAAGTTTATTAAATTTGAGTTGGGGTTACTGACCATCAAAGAGTCACAGAGTGCTTTTAATACGGGGTAGGGGTTACAGGAGTACGAAGGTGAGATGTACAAAGGGGAGCATGTGACTTAGTCTGCAGAGTGTTTTCTGGTTTACAACATACTTTCCATGTACCTTATGTCATTTAAGTTCATCTGTGAAGTAGTTATTACTATTCCTGTTTCAGTTGTAGGGAAACTGAAACTCAGAAGTAGTGCCTGATATCAAGGTCATGAAAACTCCATAGACACATCCAAACTCCCTGAGGGACTGAATTACTGGGCTGAGGGCTGTGGGGACCATGATCTTGGGGAACATCTAGCTCAACTGGCATAACATAGTTTATAAAGAAAATGTTCTACATTCTACTTTGGTGAGTAGGGTCTGGGGTCTTAAAAGCTGGTGAGTGGCCATCTAAGATACTCCACTGGTCTCACCCCATCTGAAGCAAGGGAGAATGAAGAAAACCAAAGACACACGGGAAAGATTAGTCCAAATGACTAATGGACCACAAGTACTACAGCCTCCACCAGACTGAGTCTGGCACAACTCCAGCAGACTGGGTCGACTACCACCACTGACTGCTCTGACAGGGATCACAATAGAGGGTCCTGGACAGAGCTGGAGAAAAATGTAGAACAAAATTCTAACTCACAAACACA